CTAAACCCTAAGCCCCTAAAACCCTAAGCCCAAACCCATCGTTTCCGCCAGAGGCTCTGCCTCAAAAGTCCACTTCAGGCTCGGGAGCCTTGCAAGCACGACGGTCCAAAGGGTGCTTCTTCCCGAAAAGACGCGTGCCCTTGGCTGCGCGAGACATCGGAGAAGCCTCATCTGGGGCCCCATGGCCCCGAAAGGTCACCCTCGCATCCCCTGCCCGGCCTTTCGACGCCTCGAAGTTGCAGGCCGATCTAAATTCGCTGTCTCGGGATCTTCTCACACACTGCCTAGGGCCTAGATGGCCTGGATGCGGGATATGATGCACACAACGCGCGTGCCGTCCAGGAAGTGACCGTTTAGGGCTCACACACCTCGCACCTCAGGACCATGTGCAGAGGGAGCTTAGGATTTCAGGGAGGTAGCAGGCAGAGGGAAGCTCGCCTGCCTTTGATGGGCAGAGGGCATTGGCAAGGTGGCATCGAGGTGGTCAAAGCCCAACTCCGAGCTTTGGCGTCCTCCAAGGCTCCACCACGAAGCTCACGAAGCTGTTGCGCAGCACTGCAGGCACGACAGGCACGACTGCTGCACGTTCGGAGGCCGGTGGCACAAATCCAACTAGCAGCTACTAGCCGTGACGAGCAGGCTCACGGCGAAAGCACAACAAGTGCTGCTTTTGATGCTGGGCCAACGCCAGCACAAAGTGCTGGACTCAGTGGGAAGCATGTGAAAGTCCGCAGCTTCTTGTCAGCGCCGCCTTCCTCGGTCCGTGGCGCACGAGGCATGGCCAGCATGGGATCCGAGCTAGGTGTCGTCGGATCGCGAGCGAAGCCTCCACGGCTCTCAAGACTGCAACAGCGTTCTGCGGATCTCTCACCCGTGGCGAGAACGGCAAGAGTACCGGTGCCTTGTGTGGATTTGGTGATCGAGTCTGATCAAAGTGGTGAAATCTTGCAGAAGCACGGTGCCCTCCGCATACTTGAGGCCAATGCATCCGTCCAAGGGTCTTTCCAGGAATCAAGGATTGCACAGTCAGGCCCGTAGTCGAGTGTCCCAGTCTGCACAGTCTGCACAGCCCAGAGGACAGGGGTGTTGAGCTGTGTGTGAGTTGGATCGGACCCAAGCACTCGGAGACAAGCACGGACACGCAAACGCACATGATTCATGGTCCCTTCTTTGGAGAAGTCCGAGCTCAAGCCCGTCAAGCATTCGGCGGCGATCCCCCGCGTGGCGGCATCAGTCAGCAGAGTCCATGAGCAGAGGCAGTGGGCTCAGTGCAGCCAGCCGAGGCCGCAAGCGCAAGGCCGAGGGCAGATCACGCCAGAAGCAAGCTCACGGACGTTGAGGGCCTTGGGCGGCAACGTGCTACCGCGCCGGCATGCCTGGGAGAACGCAGGTGTGGAGAGGGCCAGAACATGTCGCTGGCCACCCGGCGTCGGGGCTGGAAGCACGGAGCGACCGCCATCAACGTGACCACGGCTTCTCGCGCGGTACGTGCAGGGCACGCGCGGCGCGTGCAGGGCAGGATGGCAAGGAGACGTGAGGAGATGCGAGGACGAGGGAGAGTGAGTCCAGCAACACCTCTGGGCTTCGGATGCTTGGGCCTTCTTTCAGGGCCTGTGCTGGGGGCTGGATCCCTCCGTGCGATGCTGAGACGCGAGCAGTTGTCCTGCGTCGGGTGCTCTGCGGCCCGGTTTGAAAAATGGCTTGATGCGCAGGTGCCATGTCTCAGGCTCGGCGACCGGGGCGGAAACCTCTGCGAAGCACTGCGTGGGCCATGCCCTTCCAAAACCACGATGGCGCACAGGGCTCATGACAGAAGAAGCTGGCAGCAGTGCCGCACACTCGGCACTGTTGCTCGGAATGGCACGTCCCATGCACGATGGCCCTGCAGAGCACACCAAGCACGCGGACACTGTGGACACAGCAATTGCTGCGGTCGGGGACACACTGGATGCGGCATGTGCGGACGCGGCGGAGGTGGGCGGGCAGGTCTCAGAGTTTCGGCACCCCAGGGGCTCTTTGCCAAGGAGCTCGGCTACACCGGCGAAGAGGCAAGCCGCCTGGGGCCGCGCCGTGTGGCCATGCGTCAATCCTCGCCATCTCAGAACGAAGACGTAGAAGTATAAGCCAACCTGCTGCCATTGGCTCCCGCGTGTTTGGGTGAAGCGAGTCTGACATCTGGCAAGCGCCTGGAACCTCTTCTTGCCTGGCTTCCTGCTTCCCGGAAGACACATGTGCCTCAAATCTGCTCTGCACAGACGAGCTTCGCGGTCGACACTACGAGGCCAATGCTTGCCCAGAGGGATGATGGAGGGCTGCGAGAGCGACTCTGACCGTAAAGGAGCGCATTGGAAGTCAGCAGGCAGATGAAGAGATCCAGCTTGTGCTTGCCCGGCACACTTGTTGTGGGCAGCACGCCGGACACTGCCTGGGACTGCAAGATGCAGGAGCTGTGGCATTTGCACCTGTAGTGCACATGCCTGTAGTGCGCATGCGGGGCACCCAACTCAGGAAACGTGAGCTCAAGGCTTCGTGTGCCACCGATCATGTCAGGGCCACGAATGCAACAACTTTCTGGTGACATCTACAGAATCTACAGATCCAAGACAGCCTTTTTCACGGCCTTCTCGAGGTATAGTCCATCGGTCGAAGTGCCGAAGACGTCAAGCAGGCTTCCAACCTCTCCCACGATTCCACACATGTGAGCCATAGACATGCATGTGATCTCGGACCTTCTCAATCTGCGAGGCTTCCGAGAAGACTTTGCGGAGTTGACGGCTGCATTGGGCAACACAAGCACAGGCCTTGGCGACTCAGCACGACGGTGCTCCGGCCTTCAGGAGGAAGCTCCGTGTTGCCACAGAGTTACAGCAAGCGCAGGCGTAAAACACGATTCCTTGTTCGACTGGAGAGACTGAAGTGAAAGTCTCAGGCTGTGGAGAGTCCAGCAGCATGGAGCGAGGTGTGCGCATTGAGTCTGTTGGGGTGCCCATGAGTGCAAGACGTTAAGGGCAGCCAAAGAAGTCGGGGCCTTGGCTTTCCGCAGAGATTCCAGGTGCTCAGAATGGCATGTGGCACGTGGGCAGGAAAGCTCGCGGCTGAGAGTCAGCAGTCGGAAGGTCTCAAGTGGCTGCAGGGATCTCTATCGGGCCGGTCTCGGACCTACGGGGCCCGGTAACGTCCGTGCGCTCGCACTTGCATTTGACTTGGCTTCTCCATACACAGGGTTTGCAACAGGCTTCCTAGAGTGGGTCGTAGGCTCTCAAGAACTCGACCGCATGGCGGATCAAGTCAAGCGCCCGGTGGCAGGAGCACCTGCGCAACATCACGAGCAGCTGAGCCTTGCCACGCATCTGCCCGGCCTAACGTGATTCACAAGACCAGCATGGGTTGGCCCTGGATCCTCACTTCCGACAAACCACGCTTTTTTTGGCGCATCGACATGTGGGTGGATGCCACAAGAGGCTCAGGCACGTGTGCCCCTGGGTCTGCATATGCGGTCGGTCGCACGAAGCAAGGCAGCCTGCGCACAGCTCAACAGAAGGCTGCGCTGGCGGGCAAGGAGTCAAACAGGACTCCGGCTCCGTCAAATGCAAGCATTGTCCCAGTCTTATGGCGATGGCATGGGCCGAGGGGGCTGGACAAGGTGGCATCGAGGCGGCCAAAGCCCAACTCCGAGCTTTGGCGTCCTCCAAGGCTCCACCACGAAGCTCACGAAGCTGTTGCGCAGCACTGCAGGCACGACAGGCACGACTGCTGCACGTTCGGAGGCCGGTGGCACAAATCCAACTAGCAGCTACTAGCCGTGACGAGCAGGCTCACGGCGAAAGCACAACAAGTGCTGCTTTTGATGCTGGGCCAACGCCAGCACAAAGTGCTGGACTCAGTGGGAAGCATGTGAAAGTCCGCAGCTTCTTGTCAGCGCCGCCTTCCTCGGTCCGTGGCGCACGAGGCATGGCCAGCATGGGATCCGAGCTAGGTGTCGTCGGATCGCGAGCGAAGCCTCCACGGCTCTCAAGACTGCAACAGCGTTCTGCGGATCTCTCACCCGTGGCGAGAACGGAAGAGTACCGGTGCCTTGTGTGGATTTGGTGATCGAGTCTGATCAAAGTGGTGAAATCTTGCAGAAGCACGGTGCCCTCCGCATACTTGAGGCCAATGCATCCGTCCAAGGGTCTTTCCAGGAATCAAGGATTGCAAAGTCAGGCCCGTAGTCGAGTGTCCCAGTCTGCGCAGTCTGCACAGCCCAGAGGACAGGGGTGTTGAGCTGTGTGTGAGTTGGATCGGACCCAAGCACTCGGAGACAAGCACGGACACGCAAACGCACATGATTCATGGTCCCTTCTTTGGAGAAGTCCGAGCTCAAGCCCGTCAAGCATTCGGCGGCGATCCCCCGCGTGGCGGCATCAGTCAGCAGAGTCCATGAGCAGAGGCAGTGGGCTCAGTGCAGCCAGCCGAGGCCGCAAGCGCAAGGCCGAGGGCAGATCACGCCAGCCGCAAGCTCACGGACGTTGAGGGCCTTGGGCGGCAACGTGCTACCGCGCCGGCATGCCTGGGAGAACGCAGGTGTGGAGAGGGCCAGAACATGTCGCTGGCCACCCGGCGTCGGGGCTGGAAGCACGGAGCGACCGCCATCAACGTGACCACGGCTTCTCGCGCGGTACGTGCAGGGCACGCGCGGCGCGTGCAGGGCAGGATGGCAAGGAGACGTGAGGAGATGCGAGGACGAGGGAGAGTGAGTCCAGCAACACCTCTGGGCTTCGGATGCTTGGGCCTTCTTTCAGGGCCTGTGCTGGGGGCTGGATCCCTCCGTGCGATGCTGAGACGCGAGCAGTTGTCCTGCGTCGGGTGCTCTGCGGCCCGGTTTGAAAAATGGCTTGATGCGCAGGTGCCATGTCTCAGGCTCGGCGACCGGGGCGGAAACCTCTGCGAAGCACTGCGTGGGCCATGCCCTTCCAAAACCACGATGGCGCACAGGGCTCATGACAGAAGAAGCTGGCAGCAGTGCCGCACACTCGGCACTGTTGCTCGGAATGGCACGTCCCATGCACGATGGCCCTGCAGAGCACACCAAGCACGCGGACACTGTGGACACAGCAATTGCTGCGGTCGGGGACACACTGGATGCGGCATGTGCGGACGCGGCGGAGGTGGGCGGGCAGGTCTCAGAGTTTCGGCACCCCAGGGGCGCTTTGCCAAGGAGCTCGGCTACACCGGCGAAGAGGCAAGCCGCCTGGGGCCGCGCCGTGTGGCCATGCGTCAATCCTCGCCATCTCAGAACGAAGACATAGAAGTATAAGCCAACCTGCTGCCACGGGCTCCCGCGTGCTTGCGTGAAGCGAGTCTGACATTTGGCAAGCGCCTGGCACTTTTTCTTGCCTGGCTTCCTGCTTCCCGGAAGACACATGTGCCTCAAATCTGCTCTGCACAGACGAGCTTCGCGGTCGACACTACGAGGCCAATGCTTGCCCAGAGGGATGATGGAGGGCTGCGAGAGCGACTCTGACCGTAAAGGAGCGCATTGGAAGTCAGCAGGCAGATGAAGAGATCCAGCTTGTGCTTGCCCGGCACACTTGTTGTGGGCAGCACGCCGGACACTGCCTGGGACTGCAAGATGCAGGAGCTGTGGCATTTGCACCTGTAGTGCACATGCCTGTAGTGCGCATGCGGGGCACCCAACTCAGGAAACGTGAGCTCAAGGCTTCGTGTGCCACCGATCATGTCAGGGCCACGAATGCAACAACTTTCTGGTGACATCTACAGAATCTACAGATCCAAGACAGCCTTTTTCACGGCCTTCTCGAGGTATAGTCCATCGGTCGAAGTGCCGAAGACGTCAAGCAGGCTTCCAACCTCTCCCACGATTCCACACATGTGAGCCATAGACATGCATGTGATCTCGGACCTTCTCAATCTGCGAGGCTTCCGAGAAGACTTTGCGGAGTTGACGGCTGCATTGGGCAACACAAGCACAGGCCTTGGCGACTCAGCACGACGGTGCTCCGGCCTTCAGGAGGAAGCTCCGTGTTGCCACAGAGTTACAGCAAGCGCAGGCGTAAAACACGATTCCTTGTTCGACTGGAGAGACTGAAGTGAAAGTCTCAGGCTGTGGAGAGTCCAGCAGCATGGAGCGAGGTGTGCGCATTGAGTCTGTTGGGGTGCCCATGAGTGCAAGACGTTAAGGGCAGCCAAAGAAGTCGGGGCCTTGGCTTTCCGCAGAGATTCCAGGTGCTCAGAATGGCATGTGGCACGTGGGCAGGAAAGCTCGCGGCTGAGAGTCAGCAGTCGGAAGGTCTCAAGTGGCTGCAGGGATCTCTATCGGGCCGGTCTCGGACCTACGGGGCCCGGTAACGTCCGTGCGCTCGCACTTGCATTTGACTTGGCTTCTCCATACACAGGGTTTGCAACAGGCTTCCTAGAGTGGGTCGTAGGCTCTCAAGAACTCGACCGCATGGCGGATCAAGTCAAGCGCCCGGTGGCAGGAGCACCTGCGCAGGATCAGCTGATTTTGTTCAGCCGGGATCCCTCTGCCACGCTTCTCGCTTCACAAGGCCAGCAGAACCTGGCTCTCTGTCCCCACTTCACACTAAGCACCCTGCCTTTGGCGCATCGACACCTGGGCGGATGCCACTTCAGGCTCAGGCACGTGCACGTGTGGTCCTGGGTCTGCATATGCGGTCGGTCGCACGAATCAAGGCAGCCTGCACACTGCTGAACTGCGCCTGAAGCATTCTTCTTGTGTAACCGGCAAGGTTTCGGACACGGGGCACCCGGCGCTTGTTGCAAACATGCTGCAACATGCTCGAAAACCATGGCAAGCCTCGCCGCAGGGCGGGCGAACAGAAATCTGGACATTGCGATCGCAACAGCACCGAAAGGGGCTTGTGTGGCGAGACCTGGTACTTGCACAGAAGACCAACACAAAAACACAAACCCAAATGATGATCTTTCTGCCGGAATGCTGACAGGTCCATTGTGCACCTGAACATGCCGCATGCTCTGGATGGGTCATTGCTACCTGGATCAATGCGCAGCGTGCCAAGGCCCTTTGCAGACGAGGAGGCTGGGGGAAGCATCGAGCTGCCGCACGTGGGATCTGGGGAGGCGACCTCACTCTTGCAAGGAAATACAATAATATCCGAGCTGTTGGAGGGCCTGCAGAAGAACTTCTCTGTGGGTTCCTCGCGCTGCGGGCCCTTCGGAGCCTGGATCCCGACACGACAGAAAAGGACGCGAGGCACAGCGCCAGCTCGGCATGCTCGCCGCAATTCCCTTTCGTTGTGGGAGCTGGTGCTGGCATGCGCTGCGGCGCATGCACGATGGCGCTGCAGAGAACACCAAGCACAAGGACACGGTGGGCACAGCAAGTGCTGCGGTCGGTGACGCGCTGGATTCGGCATGTGCGGATGCAGCGGAGGTGGGCGGGCAGCTCTCAGAGTTTCGGCACCCCAGGGGCTCT